TCGGATTGATAATGTCACAGTAACAATGATTGGTAATTCTGACTTTGCCTGGGGTTTGGGTTTTTTCCCGAACATATTCGGAGACAGCCGAGAGAATTATGACAATGCGAAATGTAATTGTCATCTGGACATGAAAAACTCACCAATGGTCAAAACTGACATCAATGTTTTATAACATTTTATATAGACAACGGAATTTGACAACTACATAACCACATATATGGTGGAAGTTTGTGAATCGAGCAAGATGGAATATTGGCTTGTTGTTATCTATTCTACAAAGGCTATACTTATGTTACTGGGGGCGTTCCTGGCGTGGGAGACACGAACGGTAATATCACTATATAATACAGATAAGTTTTTCTTTTGCCGATAATATTATATTTAACGTACTCTTGCGTTACGCTAGTAAACTGCATTTCATTAATGAATATTGATCTAGTTGTGTGTCACAGTATATGCTTACATTTTTCTAAATCATTTGCATACAGCCATAGGGTCCATCACTAATTCTGTTATGTATTGTAATATGTTTTTCATTTGTTTGTTGTTTATATCTGTGTCTTTTTTATCATGTAATATACGGATATGGTCGCCGAGATCTCGTTGTGAGCAAGTACGACACGAGACTTGTTTTTGCCCTTCAGATAGTGTATATAAATCAGTACTCGTCGTTCTCTCGCTCTCAGCGAGGTGGCGGCGGCTATATTTGCGTCTAAGGTATATTGCAGATCATGAACTTATTCATCACCTCTTCATTTCCAAAGTATTTGTATATTTCTGGGGTCTGTTCGACAATACTCATTACTTAGTGTCATTGACCTTGTATGCCCTGTTCTTTGTGTACAATCATTCAAAATACAATCTGTAAATAAAAACTTAAATTTGAGATATACCTATACAAATGAAATATCGGAGATTTTCCAATTGTACAACCGGAATAGCATGTACATTGCATATATGCTAGTAGTCTGAAAATGCGTGTAATACACGACGTGTTACCGCCAGGTTTCGTTTCGACAACAGACTATAGTGGTCTAAGGCTGCGAATGATTAATATGTACCGTACAACATTTCATTTATTTTTTTCTATTGTTTTTCATTTTAAAATATATAAAAAAATATTACAGTAAAATTGTAAAAAGAAGCATTAAATATTGAAATATATCAGAAAGACGAAAGGTAACTATTTAAATCAAATAAACAACAAATATTTCAAAGCAATAAAATCACGTCTTGCATTTACTTAAAACTTCCTCTCATTTTTAAATGAATTTCATTTTGTTCCATTTGTTTTTCAATTCAAATTTTTCTTTGGTCAGAGTCAAAACATTTTTCTTCTTGCTATTTTATTTTTATACTGTATTCTTTTTTCACAATGTTACAATGTTTTTGTTTATATTATAAATTGCAAAATAAAACAACAGGAAAAAAAACAAATGTCATGAATATTCATTATTGTCACTTTAGGTCGCTGTACACAATGGTACACCCCTTGGTAGTCAGGACGTCCATGAAACAATTGTGCTATCATGGGATACGCATATAGCAATATTCACTTTCTTCTTTCCAGGTCTCAATATCGATTCTAAACGACTCTCATTACATTGGTATATGCATCTACAACGTGGTGTTACTAAGCGTTCTTGGCGCGCCATTGGCTTATCTTTTGCGATCACAGCCAAAGATTTCGTATATCATAACTTCGGCCTTCGTGATCGTGGGAACTACTGTTACGCAATGCCTTGTATTTGTGCCAAAGGTTTGTGATTTCATACATATATATATATATATAAAGTCGCCAAGTGCGGGATTTGAACGAACACCCTTCAGTATGCAAGACCGGTACCCCAACCACTACTTCAACCGGTCGACTGAGTGGAAGAGCAAATAACAGCAAATCACCTTGGGCCGGTTGTTGTGTTTTAACTTCCGCACTGGGTGACTTCCAATAGTTCACTTATCATTTATATTATGTTAATTTCCATTGTACATGAAGACGTCTGTTTATTAAATGAATTACTCTTTTCGATTAGATTAGATGTCGCCGAAGACAATTGTAACAGGTTATCACACGCTGTCCAACGAACACTTGCCTTTTCATATATGTGGTTGGTTGAGGACAGAGAATCCCTTTTTACATATCCTGATCGCCGCATTCATCTCGCGATATTTAGAGCCGTCTATTCCGGGACTGAATCACATATGATGCGTGTTTATTATAAGTTCGTAATAAGCCTGTATGTTTTAAAATTCTAACACCAATAGACAATGTTACGTCAAATTTGATCCCGGTCAGTTGTTTACCAGCCTTAATGGTTACTATATACCTACTTCGCAGATTATTGCTTACAAAGACGGACAAGTCATACCATGGGGTACTAGAAGTATTAGAAAAAGACTTGATACATTCGCCTCCAATTCCGTGGATACAGGGCAACTGAAAGTGTCAACAAGTAATGTCGCAGTGCAGTAAGTATCCTTCTGTCATATCATGGAGGTATCTCTTTTACCTCCATGGTCATATTAACTTTTTCCCCACCTGTTCCCTCTTTTCACCACATATGGACAAAATAATCCCGCTTATAGTCTGCACGTTGCTTCAGATGATTGCGACAAGGTAGCATATTTTTTTGAGTAACAACTGAAAATTGACCTCAATTTTGTTTGTTGACTCGAACATGAGGATTCCTTACCAGATATATTGAAGAATTTAAGGCAAAAACTGGACAAAAATTTGGGCGATGGTGGTGAAAAGGTTATAACGTTTATTTAGTTGGCATTTGCATATGATCTCCAGCATGACATTGACACACATCCTAGGTGAGCTTGTGACATATTCAATGGAGTTGACGAACTGATGACCGAGAATTATTAAATTACCGCATGTGACACTCCTATAGTGTTAATGTGACGAATCCGGAGCATTCGATTTAGACTTTTAGATTTGAAGATCCACTGATGCATTATTCAAGTTTATGAATTCGACAAAATCAATCCTCTACTGTGATTCTGATTTAACTTTACACAAGTATTTTTGTTTACAGTAGCAAACTGCAACACGAGAAATTGATTATTGAAATTATGTTCTATTGCAAATATACGGTGCCGTTTATATAAGCAAAAACAAATGAATATTCTGATTCATGTAAAATGTATTGCATCCGAAACTCGTTTTGTCTGAAATAAATATCTTGTATCTAACTTGGGTAGATCTCTTATAGGTTTGTTCATTTCTTGTTGATATCTTAAATTCTCTAATTTTGGTGAATATTTTTGTCATTTTTGTTAAAAAGTGATATTTTTGACTTATTGTTAAAAAACGCAAGTCCAATTGCTTTGATAGTACATATATAAGTACTACATGTGGACCTCTCTCAGATTTGTTCATTTTGTAATGATATCTTTAATTCTCTAATTTTGGTGAATGTTTTTGAAATTTTTGGTAAAAAGTGATATTTTTGAATTCTTTTTGAAAACATCAAGTCCCATTGCTTGATACTATACATATTGTTAATTTTCTAATGATATCTTTTGTTCTTTAATTGAAATGTGCATTGCAAACAGCGGAGCTATCTCAGCCGACAGGCTGCTTGTTATATTATAGTTCCGTGTATTCTACCAAAACACGCATATCATATACAAACATTTATGTTATACGTATTAATGCCGTCACCTTATAACGAGCAGCAGTATTATGGTATACATGATATAATTTGTCTTACAGGTGTGACCTGTACACAAGGATCATTGGATCTGCAGATTTATGAGTCAAAAGATCAATACCTTGCTGACTGCTGACTGTTATTCACAACAAGCGGAGATTCAGTCATGGGCGGAGTCTGGATAATCCGCAGCACAAATCCATATGGCAAATATATTGAAGATGGGTAATCGAACGTATCACAAATAATTATTATAGATTAGATATATTGTACTATAACATTATATTGTATTGTATTTGCATTATATTCTGTCTTATTTCGAAACTTCTTACTGGAATGACCGTTTCACTACAGTTACATCATGTTACCCTCTTTTTCAACGAAATGTTTGGGTGTTATATTGAGTCCAAAAAAGTGACGAGCATCATTAAGCTCAAATAATTGTAAGGGAAAATATGGCGATATCATATATCATATACAACTTCTACTGATATGGAAATATTAAAGATAACGTCAATAATTCTCAAATTTGTTTCAAATTCTAAACTTTGTTTTGCTTTGCTTTGTTTTGTAGCTGCAATCTGAAATTGTGTGTTAAAAACATTAATCCCAAACCAGGAATAATGTTTTATTTTTATCCCGTACTTATGTTAATTACCAAGAATTTAAGGAAATGCATATTCAACCAACTAACGCTGGCGACAACCAAATTCTGTCAGTTTTTCAAATAACATTTAATCATCTTCGTAAGAAAAATCGTACTTTTTTTTGCTAAATCAGAAGGAATAGTTCTGAATGCAGGATAATAGCGGTAAGTTCCGTTGATGTTTATAATGAGAGCGAACCCATGCTGGGAAAGATCGATTTACTATTTACCTTCTAAGCAAGACTCCTTGCGGCACTGTACAAAGACCGTGAAATGATCGAAGTAAACAATGTTCATCGTTGCAGATTACCTCATATCCATCGGCAAAGTGTATTTTAAATGTTGATTTTGTCTATATTTTATCAGTTCACATTCTACGTATAACAAAAGCTGTAACTTTGTCGGCGGATGTTTCATTTAGAACTAAGATGTTTGTAATTTCGTGTTTTATTCCATAAGCGTTATAATAAATTCATTTTGATGTTTTATTCAGTTTTGTCCTAATCATTCATTTTTTTTTATTTTGCAAAATATGTGGTTATTTAAAATATATCAATATAGCTGTGGCGTTTGTCGTTTAAAGCTGCCATGTAAAGTATACATATGGAATAGATGCAGCGAACAGCATCGTCTGACCTACCTTTCCAACATAGACGTGTTGAACGGTGACTGTCGATAACGTAGCAAACATAGCAGCACTATTCAAATGTCAAAACCAACAGTCAAAAAAATAAAAAAAGGCTTCGATGTTACTAATTCATACACCGAGGTGTTTAGCATCGAAAGAACAAAATCACTGATTGGATTGAGTGCGAAACAATCGGTTTTGTTTAATAATATTTTATAGTGTTGAGGGCGCATGCGAGCAGCCCGTAAACACTTTATATCATATATATAAAATATCAGTACAACTTCCATATGAATGACACATAAGCAGAGCGGCACACAATAGCGTCATAGGCATGCGAACAACGGGTGAGATTCTCGTCGCTGATGGAAACATTATCACACACATCTGCAAAATAAGTAGGTTTATAATTATTTAACACCGTATGAGAAAATAAAAGGTCTACTATTAAACTAAGTGTACCGTTTTCCAAGGTGTACACACCATCTGTGACATATCTGCGAGCTCTCGGAAGTACATCGTGCTGTTCTATACACAAGCATCGATAGTCATGTATTTTAATGACAATGTTATTTTCAAACAAAAGACCGCTACGAACAACATCTATTTGCCCGGTGACCCAGGTTGATCCGTTATTTATTCAGACGGGGCTAGATCATACAGTACAAAAACAATCAACACAAGTCCGGACAACAGGATTTGTGCCATGAACATAAACAGCAGTGAAACAGAGGACAATATATAATGAAAAGAAGAGAACACGACCTTTGTTTGTCGCATTATTATTTGCACCCATATTTTCAACGTTCTACTAAAACATGAAATATTTAGTGTATCTGTTCCGCATTTTCAATAAAAATGTAAGATGAGATAACAATTGGATAATAAAAAAAGCTTATACAATTTTCAGGGGATAATTATAGTGGGAATATTCACAACCGGTAACACCCGAGTGGAGCGAACGACCACTCTGTGTACTAGTCACCATTGGCGGTTACAGTGAGCGTAAAGTAGTAGTAGAAATATATAGATAAATTATATAGATAAATTAAACTAGGGAGAGAATATTGTTCTTGCAAATCTGCCAGTGCAGTACAGTTCGAAACCAGGGGAGCTGTAACTGTAGACCGGCGTATGCCGACAATTTTTTTAAGCGGGTGAGTCGTCACCAGCGCGTGCGTCAGATGGCCATACTGTGTCATTGTTTACAAAGAAGCGTCTACCCATGAGCCTTTGCGTTATTTGCGTGTGTTATTATCGTCGCTTGGGACTCGTGCGCAGATGACGGCCTTCCCGCTTTAAAGTTTTGGTTCAAAACCACAGCTGAATGACCTCTTTATGGGGTTACGTTATTCACGTTACAATTCATCATATTATGTATGTTCGTACAGTACTTTGAGAAAAACAAAATAATTCGTGCGATGTAACGTTTTCTTCACAACGATATGAGTTTTTTTCAGATTAGATAGCAATTACAATATTGACGATAACTCATATTATTATACATCTGTCACCGTAACGCCATAAGTTACAGCGTGCCGTAATATTGCGGTATTTTACGGGGTATTTTCACCCTACCATATTAGGAAATGCGAATTTCAAATATGGAATGATTACGCACATCAGCGTCCTCTATGATAATAAAAACAAACATGTCTGCCACCAGAATTTGACCGGATTCAACACAAAGAAGTTAGCTGATTCTTTTCTGAATATTTTGGATTTCGGCATTCCCATGTAGTATCATTGGAAGGAAAAAATGTATAATATTAAGGTTATTACGAGAAAACCTCAAAGTATGCACTCAGACAGTACGCCGCGCATCAACCTCCACTGCGCGTCGGTCGATACTCCCGCTTTACTGTCTTCGTGCATACTTTGAGGTTTTCTCGTATTAACCTCATATTATTATGCATGCAAGTGTGTTATACACTGATTTCCAGTGTTATTTAGGTGAAATTACCACGCCTCACTATAATATATTCCAAACGAAAATATCAACAAAAACAACATCAGCTGTTGTCACGTGAGTTTACATTTATGTCAACATTTTCACCAATCCCGAACCGAGCGATATAAAGCCTGTACGTCATTAATTAATTCCGACTCCAACTGCGTTTTTCTTTGATGGACTAATTTTGAAATAACAAACCTTAACAATCGATCATTTAAATTTATAGTCTATTTTATCGACATATCACTGTAAAAATCTTAAGGAAAGTTCGGGTTTTAATCAGAAAATCGAAAATCAATAGTCAAGATTTCAACAAAGAAAATGAAAATACAAAAAAATGTATAAGAATTATAATATACATGGGAGAAAGTACATTTACATATATACACATAAGCCAATGTGTACAGTAGTACATAAATTAATGTGCTACACTTTATTTTCTAAGTGTAATTCATTTCGCTCAATACAGCAGGAAACGCCATGTACCTTAAGAACGTATCACCTGACTTTAGGTCGTGTCTCCTGTGGCCTTAGGTGCAATAGTGCCGCCATAATGAATATTTTGAATATTTAATTAGTCATTTAAGTATGCATGACCAAAATTTAATATCTTAAATTCGCCTGTCTCGAGAATACCTCATTGCCGCATATAAATTAAAATTCTATTAAATTCCAAGACGTGCTTACAATGTCAACAGCGACCACGATTTCACGAGTGCGCCATATATCAATCCGCGCGTCACAACTTTTATGCCGAGGGTCATTGGAGATCGGTTGTCCCTAAGCCTTATTTCAGTTTCAACGCTTTATAAAGAATTGCTTGCTTGTATAATAAAGCGGTTATCCAACAAGAAATTACCGCGTTATATCACAAGTTTTTATGTTCGATCTCCTCACCAGTCGCCCCTGAGTAACGATTGCAAGTATATTTTGATTAATGTTACTGTCGATTATTGAAAACCACCGGCGATAGTAACTTTGAAGACGCATCATCAACACACTTAGATGGCGTGCTAATTATCATAAATTAGCATATAATTAATAAGCGTATTTTCGTAAAATTGTCATTTCTCCGCCTCTTTGACGCTTGAAATTGGTCGCCACCAGATATCACATATTAGTAAAGCTCGTTGTTACTCTCTTTCTATTCGTGGATATTACAAGACCGTGAAAGGTGAATTCTCGTACAATGATGTAATCATGAACAAGTCATTCGCGCAATAGCGACATTCGTTGATATCGCACAATTACCTCAGTGAAACTAAAATTTGTTCTGAATTGTCAGCAGGTTCTCGTACCAGTGCAGTGTTACCATAGCGACATCACGTGCGCACGTTTTGTTTACACGTCGTTGCACTGTTGTTTCGAATCAATAACTTGCATGTTTAGGGTAGAGTATAAACATATATTACAGGAATTTTATAAATAGATTGTTTAGTAATTGTATTTAGTAGTGGCAACTTTGCAAGGCTTTAACCGTGGGACACATCCCTGGTAATCACGTGATCGTGCCAACGACTGCAGCGATTGGCTGATCGCAAGTTTACGCTTTGGAGATTTTTAGGAGGGAGTTTGTAACACTTTGTAAAAGAAGGTACAAGAGGAGTGCACAGCGAAGGGCTACCCCAGCTGACGGCTTGGACGAATAAAGCTAGAACATCCGTATAGAACGAATGTGTAACCTTTCGGGTAAAAAACCGATATCATCTCTATAGTAAGTGTCATCTGCACGCTCGCCGAAGCCTCCTCACCTTCGACGCCAGTGTTCAGAACATCAGCAGCATCCATACGGGCGTGATAACCGTCATTTGTATCGGATTTGTTTTCTGTTATCTGTACGACTTAACAAACGCTAGCACCAATGCCTGCACTGGTTG